CAGAGAGAGAGAGGGAGGTAAAGTGAAAAATCACCCTCGGGTGGAGTGGCCACACTGCAATCCCTTCTCCATTCTCCTCTCAAGATTTTGTGGTACGTATGCACATGTGCCTGGTGTTTTTCAAGCTGCCAGGTCCGGGAATTAAACCACAAAGTCAGTCATGTAGGATACAGCTACCTTAGCCACCATGCCACCTGGTTGCCCTTATAATTAACTTGATTTAGCAATATTTGCCCCCCAACATCAAGTGATCTTAAAAGTTATTGTTTAGACCCATGAATTATAAGTCCTTCAGGGTAAATGCAACTGAAATGCCAGACAATTTTTTTTTATTATTGCCAGAGACTTGTGCACTCACTAGAGGAGAGGAGGGGAGAGAGAGAGAGAAAACAGCCTCCAATGAGGTGTGATCATGGCAAAATCCTATATCCTCCATTTCTCTATCTTCATCAAGAATTTGACCATGCACACACATGCATCCAGTATGTATTTCAAGCTCCAGGGCCCTGGACTTGAACTGCAGTCCGCCATGTAGGATCTGCCTCCTTCAACAACTGCTCGAAGGGACTGGCCCCAACTATTTTTAACTCGGACTTTTTTTTCAGTCATTTTAAGAGCCCGTAACGTTAAAACAAGAAAAAAATGAACTCACTATTTCATCATTTAGAAAAGTGTAGCTTATTTGCATTAAACTTAGACAGTCAATCAAATCCAGTGTTCTTGTTATATGAAAGATACAAAACATCTATTTATATCAATTTGTGAAGTGTGACAGTAGCTCTTTAATATAATAAGGCTTTCTGGCCTTACATCCTGAAATTAGCATTACCTTCCTGTTGTTACAGAGGCAGTTTCCCTGGAACACCACTTTTCATCACGTCTGATCTTTATCTGACTGCTGAAACTGAAGTCACCTATAAATAACGGTTATAGCTGCTTTGGCTGAATTAAAGATTATGGGTTATAAATGAGAAGTGCAAAGACCAGCTGCCTTTTAGATGTAACTTTCATCTAAACTTTTAATGTAACAGATACAGTTTTCTTTTCTTTCTTTCTTTTTTTTTTGGAGAGGTTTTTCCTATAGGGCACATGCGCTCACCAGAAAGATAGAAAAAGACAGACAGAAAGCGAGAAATCACCCCCCAGGGGAGATGGCCATGCTGCAATCCCTTCTCCTCCATTCTCCTCTTGGGATCTTAGGCATGCATGCACACGTGCCCGGTGTGAGTTTAAGCCACCAGGTCCAGCACTCGAACCGTGGTTGACTATGTGGGAGTCCAGCAAAATAGCCATACACCAACAGCTGGTCCCACGGATATAGTTTTCTAAAGTCATCAGACCTGGAAAGACTTTTTTCCTGTAAATTGCCATTTCACATGCAAAATTGTAGTCATCTGTTCTGCCTATCTTTTCACACTAACATCGGAGGGTTTTTTTGTTGTTTTTTAATTTTTTATGCCAGAGGACATGTGCACTTGCTTAGGGCGAGGGGAGGGAGAGAAAGCACCCCCTATGGGGAATGGTCACACCACAATCCCTTCTCCTCTATTTCTCCCTCCTTTCCAGATTTTGGGCACACACACACATGCACCCAGCATATCTTAAGTTCTATGGCTCCCAAAATCTCCAAGCTTGAGAGGACATAGAAATCTAGATAGTTTGATTTTACATAAGGCCCTTTTAAAAATAGTACAATTTGTCCTCTTAGATTAGACTCTTGATTCAAGTGATATTTTCTGGTCAGTAAAGACATTTTTGTTAACAAAAGAAACCTCCTTTTTCCCATTGTTCATTTAATAATATACTGATGTTTATAAAGTAAGTTGAAAATTCTTTGTAAGTTATTCAGCTGATCAGTTTACTCCTAAAATTAAAAAAAAAGACATCCACTTTTATATAGCTAAGTTGTCATTGACAAATTAATTAGCTCTTTTTTTAATAATATAGAGTTGATATTTTGTCAATGAAACCTGTCTTTGATGGCTGAGTAGTTTTTGTTTCCTTCATATATAACTTATAGTGAAAAACCAGTTAAGGTTGTGAGTTTCTCTAAGTAATTCTTATTTTTAAAGAATCTATTTCTAAATACTGTTCTTTTTAAACATTTTTTTTCTTTTTTTTTTTTGGAAAGATTTTCACTGTAGGGCACGTGCGCTCGCCAGACAGACAGAGAGAGACATAGAGACAGAAAGCGAGAAATCACCCCCCAGGGGGGATGGTCACGCCGCAATTCCTTCTCCTCCATTCTCCTCTCGGGATCTTGGGCACGCACACACACGCGCCCGGCGTGAGTTTTAAGCCACCGGGTCCGGGACATGAACCGCGGTCGACTACGTGGGAGTCCAGCAACATAGCCATTACGCTGCTGGTTCCCGCTTAAACATTTTTTTAAGAAAGATTTTTGCAGGAACAGCAGATAGCATAATGGCTGTTGCTGGACTCCCATGTAGTCGACCATGGTTCAAGTCCCAGACCCGGTGCCTTAAAGTCACACCCAGATCGTGTATGTGAGTGCTCAAGATCCCAAGAGGAGGGAACCAGCAGTTAGCGTAATGGCTGTGTCGCTGGATTCCCACGTAGTTGATCGCAGTTCGCGTCCCGGACCCGGTGGCTTAGAACTCACGCTGGGCGCGTGTGCGTACGTGCCCAAGATCCTGAGAGGAGAATGGAGGAGAAGGGATTGCGGCGTGACCATCCCCCCTGGGGGGTGATTTCTCGCTTTCTGTCTCTATGTCTCTCTCTCTCTGTCTGGCGAGTGCACACGCTCTATAGTGAAAACCTCTCAAAAAGAAAAAAAAAAATCCCAAGAGGAGAAAAGAGGAGAAAAGATTGCAGTGTGGTCATCCCCCTGGGGGGTGATTTCTCGCTTTCTGTCTCTGTCTCTCTCTGGCAAGCACACATACCCTATAGCAAAAACCTCTCAAAAAAAGAGAAAGATTTTTGCTATGGGGTGTGCACTCACCAGAGAGAGTGACAGAAAGCGAGAAATCACCTCCCAGGGGAGATGGCCACACCACGATCCTGTCTCCTCTTGGGATCTTGGGCACACAGGCACACATGCCCGGCATGAGTTTTAAGTGGCCGGGTCCAGGACTCAAACTGTGGTCTACTATGTGGGAGACCAGGGACATAACCATTATGCCATCTACTGGTCCCTTAAATACTGTTCTTACTAATAGGCTTTCCTGATGTGGGATATATTTTATTACTTTAAAGGAAGTGGTGCTCTATATTATACATAGTTTAGATTTTCCTTGGTCAGACAGGAAATGGGCAGTGCCATGATTTTCTTTTAGAATACTTTGGAAGACTGAAAATTAGAACTTAAAGGGATATAATTACCTAGATCAAATATTAAAATATTCCCTTTTTTTAAAAAAACATATTCATTCATTTATTTTAACTTGATTAGAGAGAGACAGAGAGAGAGAGAGACAGCGAGAAACCAAGCTGCCAGGTTTGGGACTTGAACTGTAGGCAGCCATGTGGGAGTGTCCAGCATCCTAACCACCAAGCCACCTGCTGATCCCTAAAATATTCCCTTTTCAAGTGTACTTTCTAAATATTTTCCCCATTGATCTTTTTGCTTTTTGTTATATTCCACACATAGAATACAATTATAACATTTATGTAACTCTTCTACTGTTTAAATATTGACAGATACTTCATGATACACGGAATTTTTTTTTTTTAATTTCTTTAGCTGCCTTACATTTCACTAGGCACTTGCTGATGAGCACATTACTTTAAGAAAATAGAATCTGGAGTCAGCAGGTGACCTGGTGGTTGAGATGCTGGACTCCTACGTGGTCTACCACAATTCAAGTTTTGGACCTAGTAGCTTGAAAATCACGCTGGGCACATGTGTGTGTGCACTCAAAATCCCTAGAGGAAAGAATGGAGGACATAGGATTGCAATGAGACCATCTCCCATGGGAGGCAATTTCTCACTTTCTCCCTCTTTCTCCTTCTCTCTGTCTCTAGTGAACACCCTATGCAAAAACCTAAAAAAAAAAAAAAAAAAAAAAAAAAGGCAGAAATTTAGATCTCCAGAAATGAGCATTATTTTCCTTCTGCGTATGAACAGCTCACTCTTAGAATAATACAAAAGCCTCCACTATACCTCTAAAAACAAGCAGGAAATTTGTTGAACTGCATGTGAAGAACTTCTCGTCTAAATTACTTGAAGAATTAAAAAAAAAAAAGTGCTGTAGGGAGCATTCTCAGAAGATTGACAGAGGAATAATTTGCCAATGTCCAGCAAAATTCACAAACTTACCTTTGATACCTACATGTGTTTTATACTGTGTTAGCCCCCATGCCTCAGTTCACAATGCCTCTGCTCCATGTCTCTGCCTGGCTAAGTCCTATGTGGTCTTCTGAGCCTCAGCTCAAGCCTTACTGGCTGCAGAAAGCTACCCCTAACACTTTCGTCCATCCTTGGGTGACTCCCCACGCCTACGCTATTACAACACTGATCGCCCGGTTAGCAGGAGTTATGTTGCGTCTCGTATGTCCAGGCACTGAGCCTCTGAAATTAGGAGCTGCATCTTAGCCATGTTTGATTCCTCTGGATTTAGTCCTTGGCACTGGATAATTGATAGTAAATGTTAGATAAGTGAATGAAGGAATGACCGTATTAAAGATATTAATCAACTTGAAAACCTTTCTATGGTAAATTCTCATTATTCACAAATTCTGTATTTGTGAATTTGCCTATTGCCTGAAATATCTCTGTAACATCAAACTTCCTATTCACAATGCTTCATTCTCAGACCTGTGAAAAATCTGAGTCACTCAACAAACGTGTTCCAGTTGAGGTCAAACATGGCAATGCTCTGCCTTCTCTCAGCTCTAACTGTAAGCAAATGTTCTTTCCACAGGGATTTTACTGTCCACGGTGGCGCCCAAGCTGAGTATTAAGGTGCTGCCATGTTCTTAAGGACACAAAGGCCGTGATAATGCCTTAAAGAGAAAATATGTGTGTTCCTTAAGCTTCATTTAGGCATGAGTTCTAATACTGTTGGCCAAAGGGAGACTAGGGAGAGACAGTTAAACATTTCAGGGCTTCTTAAGGAGTGGAAAAAAATTTCTAAAATTGATTGTGATGATGGTTGCACGACTCTATTGATACACTAAAAATCACTGAATTGTACAGTTTCAGTGGGTGAATAATATGATGTGGAGTTATATCTCAATAAAGTTGTTAGCAACACACACACACACACACACACACACACACACAGATTACTGGGCCCATCCTCAGAGTTCCAATGCAGTAGGTGTGGGACAAGGCTCAACAATTTGCCTTTCTCAAAAGGTGATGCTGATATTGCTGACATGAAACCTCATTTTAAGAATAATTACTCTATGAATCCTAGAGAAATACGGGACCAGCAGTTGGCATAATGGCTATGTTGCTGGACTCCCACATAGTTAACCGCAGTTCAAGTCTCTGACCTGGTGGCTTAAACTCATGCTGGGCACATGTGCATGCGTGCCCAAGAACAAGAATGTTTTGAGAAGGGACTGCGGTGTGGCCATCCTCCCTAGGGGGTGATTTCTCGCTTTCTGTCTCTGTCTTTCTGGCGGGTACACATGCCCTAAAGCAGAAAAAAAAAAAAAAAAAGAGGAATCAACAGAAAATGGACAGAAAAAGGTGGGGAGGACTAAATCTCGTCAAGCCTACAAGCAAAACCACGCACAGGGTTATAGCATCAGACACACAGCCACTGCTAACACTGAGCTCTGGATGCCACAGCTCATGCAACAGCCAGCTCTCCCTTGTAACTGCCTGGAACCTTGCCCACTCAGACCACTGCTACTCCTGCCTCTGGAAATAATCATGCTACTTAACATCATTAAGCTGATTAACATTATTTCAGTGCAACATTGCAATGACATGTGTTTTGGATGGAACTTACATTATATTTTGAGGAAAAAAAAAAAAAAAACTACTGAGGGGCCAGTAGGTGATGTGGTGGTTGGGGTGCTGGACTCCTACATGGCCAACTGTGGTTCAAGACCTGGCAGCTTGCTTTCTTGCTCCCTCTCTCTCTCTTATCAAATTGAATAATAATGAGTAATATTTCTTTTTAAAAAAACCTATTGAAATAACCACTTACTATACTGTAATACATTCATTTTTGTTCAACTCATGTATCTTTATTATGGTTTTAGATTCTACTGAATGTAGACGTAAAGTTGTTTAACCTCTGCTTTTCCTTGTTCAGCCACTCTTCCAGGTATGTGGGAGAGAACAATAACAATAGGAAGTGCTGGGAAGACGTTCAGTGTGACGGGCTGGAAGGTGAGATGCGTAAGAATTTACTTGCCTAACAATATGCACACATGGCAGGTATTCAAGAAGTACGTGGAAAATGAATATAAAAAACCTATGCATTGTTTTGCTTCGTTTTAGTTTTTGCTATAATGTGGATGTGCCTGACAGAGAGAGAGAGAAAGAGAAAGTGAGAAATCATCTCCTGGGGGAATGGCCACACGGCAGTCCCTTCTCCTCCAGTCTCCTCTAGAGACTGGGCACACATGCTCACACACCCAGCATGTTTCTCAAGCCTCTGGGTCTGGGACATGAACCACACACTCAGTCAGGTGGAATGCAATGCCTTAACCTCCACACCATCTACTGGTCTACCCAGAACAGATTTTCAAACTTTTTTGCATCAAAATAAACTTGTACTTTGATTCTACTTTTTTACAAACTTTTTGAAGCACCTTATTTTGTATTTTATAAAGTGTTTACTTTTAAATGCTAAAATAACCAGTTTACACAGATTTTTTTTTTAATTGCCAGAGGGCATGCATACTTGCCAGAGACACAGAGAGAGAGAGAGAAAGCATCCTCAGTATTGGGGCATGATTATGCCACAATCCATTTTCCTCCATTTCTTCCCCTCATCAGGATTTTGGGCACACACATACACATGCACCTGGAGTGTTCTCAAGGCACCAGAGCCAGGATTCGGCCCATGGTCAGCTATGTGGGCTCCAGCTGCCAATGGACAGAGCTTAACAACCACTGTGTTCCAGGGTAGGCCACACCCAGGGTTTAATTTGTTTTTGTTTTTTAGATTTTTGCTATAGGGTGTGTGCATTCACCAGAGAGAGAGAGAGATGGAAATAGAAATCAACCCCCAGGGGGGATGGCCACCCTGCATCCCTTCTGCATTCTCCTCTTGTGATTTTGAGCACACAGGCACATGCACCCGCATGTTTCTCAAGCTGCTGCTATGTGGGATCCAGACCTTACCCATCATGCTATCTGTTGGCCCCCTACACAGTATTAATACAATAATCTTTTGCTTATTTATTGATTTATTCAAGTTTCATTTTTATCTTTATCCTTTTTGAGACACTGTTTTTTTTTAAGTAAGAAAAATTAGGTAATTTTTCCATCTTGAAAGTAATTTAATGAGACTTTTTTCATTGTGAATAATGTTCAGATGACTGCGTTCTAATATAAAAAGAGAAAAAAATAATATTTTGGCACTTACTTTGGTGCCAGACTCTAAGTATTTTACATATACTAATTCCTCTGGTTCTTTTTTTTTTTTTTTTTTCTTTTTTGTGGTGGTTTTTGCTATAGGTATGTGTGCTCACCAGAAAGACAGACAAAAAGCAAGAAGTCACCCTCGAGTGGGTATGGTCACGCTGCAATCCCTTCTCCTACATTCTCCTCTCGGGACCTTGGGCATGCACGCACACGCGCCCAGTGTGAATTTAAGCCACCAGGTCTGGAACTCGAATCGGGGTTGACTACATGGGAGTTCAGCGACATGGCCATTACACTAACTGCTGGTCCCATTTCCTCTGGTTCTTATGACTATAGTATGAGGTGGGTGTACTTACTACCCCGTTATTTCACAGATGATAAAACTAAAGCTTAGAGAAGCCAAGTGACTTGCCAGAGATTACAGGGCTAAGGAACTCAGTCCAGGACAGGTGGTCTGGCAGGTTCCCTTCTCCTGACCACTGTATGGAACAGTTTATCCCCTCGAATCTTGGTTCTCTTCCAACCCCGCCTCTCCTAAATATGGCCTAGAATCAGGAAACATCAGAAATGAGATTTACAGGCTGAAAAGTCTATGTCTTCACTGTGGAAGAGTCCCTTTGTCCTCAGAGTTATTTTTATCTATATCTAATTCCAATGATTTTGCCAGAAGTATCTACTAGTAGCAGATTAGGCCCCACCTCAGTGGCACAGTCAGTGACGGACTGTGCTGCAGTGCTGAAGGTCACGGGCTGGCCACTGCCTGGTCACCCTGAGACATGTGGTGCACGTGTGTGCCCAAGATCCTGATGAGCTGGGGCCGGCAGGTGGTGTGGTGGTTAAGGGTGCTGGACTCCCACATGGCCGACTGTGGTTCAAGTTCCAGGCCTGGCGGCTTGCTCTCTCTCTCTCTCTCTCCCCCTGTCCCTCTCTGGTCAAATTAAAATAAAGTCAAATAATTAAAGAAAAAAAAAAAGCTAGAGGGCTGGAAGGCTGGACAAAGATGCCCCAGCATGGCAAGACCCTGCTGAGGGTGCTCCCCTTCTTATGCGCATGTGCATGTGCTCTCTCTCAGAGTAAAATAAATAAACCTTTTTGGGCCATCCTTGTGCCCTGTCAGTTAAAGGAGCCAGACCCCCTGGGGCTAGCGGGTGGCGTGGTAGTTAAGGTGCTGAACTCTTATGTAGCCAACTTGCAGTTTGAGTCCCAGGCTTAGCAGCATGAAAATCATTCTGAGCATGTGTCCAAAATCCCCAGAGAAAAATGGAGGAGACGAGATTGCAGTGTAGCCATCCCTCCCAGAGGGTGATTCCTCACTTTCTCTCTCACTGTACTTCTCTAGCAAGTGTATGTGCCCTATGGCAAAACTTTAAAAAAAAAAAAAAAAAAAAAAAAGAGCCAGATCCCACATGGCTGACTGTGGTTCTAGTCCTGGCCCTGGCTGCTCAAAAATACATTAGGCTCATGTATGTATGTGCCCCAAATCCTGACAGGATGGAGAAATTAGTAGAAAAAATTGTGGCATAAATGTGCCCCGGAGGGGGGGGGGTGCTTTCTCTCTCTTTCTCTAGTGATCACATGCACCCTCTGGTAATTAAAAAATAAATAAACAAATACACTTTTTTTTTTTTTTAAGGTTTTTGCCATAGGGTGTGTACACTTGATGGAGAGAGACAGAGAAAGAGAAAGTGAGAAATTGTTCCTCCAAGGAGGTTGGTCATGCCATAAGCCCTTCTCCTCCATTCTCCTCTCAGTACTTTGGACACACATGCACATGCTCTGTATGACTTTTAAGCCACCAATATGGGACTCAAACCGTGGTCACCAGGTAGAAGTCTAGCACCTTAACCACCATGCCACCTGCTGGCCTCAAACAAACTTTGTTTTTAAATAGTAAATCAGAAGAGAGGAGAAGACTAATATTGATTGAAGGTTTATTTACCTTCTGAAAATAGCTTCGTGACTCCAGCTGGAAACTTTAACACCAAAAAAAAAAAAAAAAGGAAAAACTATTAAAATCATTCTAACTGCTAATACTGGACTATAGCATGAACATTTTAGAATTGCATATATTTAGTAATTATATTACATTTAATACTCGCTCACATTTGATACATATCATCAGTTTGTTTTTTGAAATCTGCTTTTCTCTTTTTTTTTTCCCCCCAGCTTGGCTGGTCCATTGGTCCTAATCATTTGATAAAACATTTACAGACAGTTCAACAAAACACCATTTATACCTGTGCCACTCCTTTACAGGTAAGTATTATGGTAACTTGGGGTCAAAGCATGGTCTGTCAGTGAAGGTATCACAGTGTTATACCTCTGGAAGACAGCAGTAGGACTAAGCAGCATTGCAGCTGTGCTTACCCTATGAAATAGCAATCCACATTCTGGAGATTCACTCTCCAGCTACTATCTGTGCATGTAAGAAGGTATGTATATATGTCACTGTTCATTGCAGATGATGGGGGTAGTCCATTAACCATCTGTAGACAACTGGTTAAACAAACCATGAGTTTTCCAAACATTTAAATATTATAGTACTATAATAGTTTCCTACTGCTGTTATAACAACACATAGTGACTTTAGGGAAAAAAAAAACCAAACACATATTGGGACTGGCAAGTGGGTTAATGGTTACATTGTTGGACTCCCACATAGTCAATTGAAGTTTGAGTCCTGGACCCAGTGGCTTAAAACTCACATTGGGTGCATGTGCGTGCATGCTCAAAGTTCTGAGAGAAAAACAGAGAAGGGATTGTGGTGTGGCCATTGCCCCCTCTGGGGGGGTGATTTCTCTCTGTGTTTCCAGAGAGTACATGTGCCCTGTAGCAAGAAATCTCTCTTTGAAAAAGAAAAGGGACATTTTTGGGGGCCCTTTTTCTGTCTACCAGATGACCGTTTAAAAGGGAAGAAAGAGACCAGCAGGTGGCATAATGGTTACGTCACTGGACTCCATGTAGTTGACTGCGATTTGAGTCCCAGACCCAACTGCTTGGGAGTCAAGCCTGGCCATGTGTGTGTGTGTGCCCAAAATCCCAAGAGGAGAATGGGGGAGAAGGGATTGCTACATGGCCATTCATCCCCACTGGAGATGGCTTTCTATCGTTTTCTATCTCTTTCTCTGTCTCTTCAACAAGTGCATGCATCCTGTAGCAAAAATTTCTCAAAATAAATAAATAATAAATAAAAGAGAAGGAAAAAGAGTGATTACTGATAGGGAAAAATTTCTAGAATATGTAAAATTTAAAAAGCAAGGAACAGAGGAGAGTATATTTATGCTGCCTTTTTTTTTTTTTTTTTTTTTGAGAGGTTTTTGCTATAGGGCTCGTGGGCTTGCAGGAAAGACAGAGAGAAACAGAGATACAAAAGCGAGAAATCACCCCCCAGGGAGGATGGCCACGCCGCAATCTCTTCTCCTCCTTTCTCCTCTTGGGATCTTGGGCACCACACACACGTGCCCAGCGTGAGTTTAAGCCATTGGGCCCAGGACTCGAACCACAGTTGACTACATGGGAGTTCAGCAATATAGCCATTACGCAACTGCTGGTCCCTGCTGCATTTTTCATAACAAAAGAGAACTGCTTGTATTTTCTTAAATTATCTCTAGATGGATCCACAGAAACTAATAAATGTGGCTGTTAGTACAGGTAAAGGAATTGGTTGAAATTAGCAGGTAGAGACAATCGTTAAGTTTAAGACTTTTTAATGTATGTTTTTGGGGAGGTAAGAATTATTTTTATTAATTAATTAATTAATTTATTTATTTATTTATTTATTTTTGCTATAGTGCACACATGCTCACCAGAGAGAGATAAAGTGAGAAAGCAAGTCACCAGGTCTGGGACTCAAACTGCAGTTGGCCATGTGGGAGTCCAGCACCTCAACCACCATGCCACCTGCTGACCCCAATGTGTGTATATATATTTTTTTTTAAGAATTTTTTAAAATTTAATTCCATTTGTCATTATTATTATTTTTTAATTTGACTAGACAGGGACAGAGATAGAGAAAGGGAAAGCAAGAAAGCAAGCCACCAGGTCCAGGTGAACCACAATGAGACATGTGGAAATCTAGCACCTTTAACCACTATGCCACTTGCCAGCCCCCCAATGTATATAGTTTTAATATAGCTACAGAAACAGGGATCTATGTACCATACATAATCAAAACACTGAAAAGGTAATATTTTTCTAGAAGGCAGTGAAAAGACCAAAAAAATAAAATGTATTAGCTACAGCAAACTTGATTTTTTGCTTTATGTAAAACTGAATGGGAAAAAAATCTATTTAAAATTTTTTTCAGTGACTCTCTAAAGTAATAACATGATAAAAGTTAGTTCTGACATTTTGTTTTATTATATATTATAAAACTCACTTTATCCTCTCCAAATAAATGCATCCACCGGTTTAACAAATATTTACTGAGAATCGAGATGAAAGAGGGAAAAGAGAAGGGATATAAAGTACCTGGGGGAGAAGATGTGAAACTAAATAGGTAGACATTGAAAGCTTCACTGAGAAGATAACATTTGAGTAATGAACTGAAGGAGTTCAACAGTCCTGTGGTTACCTAGAGAAGAGCCCTCTAGACTGAGAACAGTAAGTGCAAAGGTGCAGTGATGGACAGCTTGTATGGCATGTCTGCACCAGTGAACAGCACCAAGGATGGAATGAGATGACCAAGGGAGAAGAGCTGGAGGTAGTGAGATCAGTGAAGTGTCTGGGAGTCAGATCGAGCTGGGCTATGTATGCCAGTGGAAGAGCTGAGTGAGAGAGGAAGTCACAGAGAGTACTGAGAACAAGAGCATCATGGTCTAGCTTGTGTTATCGAAGAGACTCTGGCTGCTTTGGGAGTGGGAAGGCTGTTGAGTGACTCAGGAAAGAAATGCCAGTGCATTGAACCAATACGGGGATGGCAGACAGGTGAAAAGTGATTAGACTCTGGATATATTTTGAAGGTATAGCCAACACTATTTGTCAATGGATTCCATATGGGGTATGAGAAGAAAAGGGCCCAGGGTTGTGCTCCAGTTAGGACGATGTTTACGTCTTTTGTGTTTTGAATTTTCTAGTGCTTTATTTCCTATTATATGATTGAACAAGTTACTGAGGAAAAGAAAGGTAAAGTCGAGAATCTGGAACATCCTTTCTGAACCATCTTATTCTCCATTTCGGCTAGCTGCTCTGTTTTCCCCTCAGACAACTATGTTTGGAAATAGGCTCCTGCTTATAGGGGAACCTCAGATTTCTAGATTGAAGCAATCAATCCTTGTTTGTCCAAGATTGCATTTAGTGCTGGGAATTTATTACTATTGCTAATTCAGTTTCACTGCTGAATTCTGTTGGCAAGAAGGCTTCTCTGTGATCATGTCCCTCTCTGTTCTCAGTCTCATCTCTTGCCATGTTGTCTCTCTTGCTACCTTTCAGTCACACTGGCCTCAGTTCTTCCAACAGAAAGAATTATATCCTGCTTGTCTGATTAATTTCCTTTCTGCTCACCCCTCCCCACTCCCAGTACACACTAACTGGCATTTAAGGACCATGTCTATTTTGCTCATTGTCATATTCCCAGCACTTACCAGAACGCCAGGTTTAACATTGGTACTCAGTATTTATCAGCCAAGTGGGCAATTTACCCTTTAGTTTGTGAAATCTTTTGCTTATTATTAACTTCCTAAAAATAGGACCACTTTGCTTGCATCTTTTTTCTACTCCTAGTGACTGATAACCTGCCTGGATCTCCTCCTGGTTTGTGCTGAGTTTCATTATTTCTAAGTCATCTCTGTTCACATCTGCCTTCCAAGCTTCTGCTCTCTGCTTGCATACAGCCTTGTTCTTTATGCATGCCTGATTCTGACTTGTTTACCTGTTCCTGACCTGTTGCCTTCTCATACAGCTGCCTGCTCTTTAATATCTTTATCCGAGTTGTTAAAACTACAAGCTTTCAACAACAGAAACTAGTTTCTTGCAGTTCTTTAGATACTGGGAAGTCCAAAATCAAGTCCCTGCCTGGCGAAGCCTGCTTTCTCACAGATGTCACTTGTTTGACAGGTCTTCACAGGATGGAAGAAGCTAGCTGCTATCTTATTTATGAGGGTAGTAATCCCATCCTGAGGGCCCTCCTTTCATGACTATTGCCTCCCAAAGTAACCTCTCTCCTGAGGGGTATGGATTTCAACATACGAGTTTGGAGGAGAGTAGGCATGAATGGTTTATTGCATTTAACGCTGGCTTCTTTCTTAGCTCATTTTCTTTTCTGGCTCTCTGACTTGCCTGAAGAATGGTAGCAGAGTTACTCCACCTGCTCCAGAAACTCATTTCTTCTTCTTTTTCTTTCTTTCTTTCTTTTTTTTTTTTTTTAAATAGGGATTTTTGCTATAGGGTGCATGCATGAAACAGAGAGAGAAAAAGAAAGTGTGAAGTCACCGCCACTCCTTGGGTGGGAGTGGGGGTACAGGGGGGATGGCCATGCCACAATCCCTTCTCCGCTCTCCTCTCAGGATTCTGGGCTCACATGCACACATGCCCAGCATTGGTTTTTAAGCTGCTGGGTCTGGGACTCAAACCATGCAACTACATGGGGGTCCAGCAACAACCATTACAGCATCTACGGGTCCCCAGAAACTCATTTCTAATCTCTGTTTAACTTAGACAGCCTTCACGGGTTAGGAATAATTACAGAATTTGCGCACCTGTGGGGAATGAAAGCGGTACATTACTCCTCTACATAGTAGGCCAGCTTTTACTTCCCCAGTGTTAAATGAGGAAGGACTGTGTCCTCACTTCTCTGGCCATTTTTCACACTTAGATTTACCAAATTATTCTATTGCTTATCTTAGTAAAAATAAAATAAAATAAAATAAAATAAAATAAAATAAAATAAATTAAGTTCCTGTTGTTCCTGAGTAAGTCATCTTCATTTATTACCTTTCTTTCAGTTTGGATTTTCATGAGTCAATCTCAGTCTTCACATTAGATAAATTATTTACATAGAATTGCTTCCTCCATTAATCTCTAGTTTAATACAGGCTCACAGAAATTCAACTGTAATTTCCTGAGTAACCTTTTTGCCAATCATTTTACTCAGGCAATCTTTATTATACCAATAAACTAAGCAATAAATAACATTGCTGTATTTCCTTTCATGTTTTTTGCTCTTAATATACAGGAAGCCTTGGCTCAAGCTTTTTGGATTGACATCAAGCGCATGGATGACCCTGAGTGTTACTTTAATTCTTTGCCAAAAGAGTTAGAAGTAAAAAGAGATCGGATGGTGCATTTACTTGAAAGTGTTGGACTAAAACCCATAGTTCCTGATGGGGGATACTTCATCATTGCTGATGTGTCATTGCTAGGTTTGTAGACATTTTTATCATTGCAATTATAAGGAAATGTGTGTGAACGTATAGCAACATTATACAGAAAAGATTGTTATCAAGGCCATACAACCATTTTATCTATTGAAAAGGATGGAGTTGAGCATCGTCCTTGTTCTCTCCAATTACTTTTACTTTTAGGTCTTTTACCTTAATCGATACTGTTATGAAATGAGTATAGAAGTAGCAGATTTTTGTATTCCATTTAACAGAAAATTTTCTGTCATCCTGTTCTGGTATGTAACTTCAAAGGTACATGAAATGGTATATGCACCCTTTGTTCATCATTTAAAATATCCTTCTTACTTAAGGAAAAGCAAACTAGTTTGTGAGAGAAATAAGACTCCCAGAATTTTTTTTTTTTTTTGGAGAGATTTTCACTGTAGGGCGCGTGCGCTCGCCAGACAGACAGAGAGCGACATAGAGACAGAAAGCGAGAAATCACCCCCCAAGGGGGATGGTCACGCCGCAATCCCTTCTCCTCCATTCTCCTCTCGGGATCTTGGGCACACACGCACACGCGTCCGGCGTGAGTTTTAAGCCACCGGGTCTGGGACACGAACCGCGGTCGACCACGTGGGAGTCCAGCGACATAGCCATTACGCTAACTGCTGGTTCCCTCCCAGAAATTTTTTAACTCATCAGGTAATATCTGCCATTTTAGAATATACAGAAATTAAATAAATGAGGAGTATAATATTTATTGAGGGCCTACTATGTGCTAGGCCCTCAAACACCCCTCCTGTTTTTTATTAATTCTCAGATATGCACCCTTGCCACAGAGCTATAGAGAGAAAGAGAAAGCGTCCCCCCCAATAATGCATGGTCACACCACAGTCCCTTTTTTCCCCCATATTTCCATCCCATCAAGATTTTAGATGCACACACTTGTCTGGCATGTTTTTCAAGACACCAGGACACAGATTCAAACCACAGTGGGCCCGTGAGATCTTGCTCTCTTCATTGCTGAGCAACATGGCTGGCCTTCAAACACTTTTTTTTTAAAGAGAATTTTGCTATAGGATGCATGTGCGTGCCACAGAGACACAGAGAGAGAAATCACCCACAAGGGTGATAGCCACACCATAATCCCTTCTCCTCCATTCTTTCAGGATTTGGGGCAAGCATGTACATGTGCCCGGCGGGAGTTTTAAGCCACCAGGTCCAGGACTCAAACTGCAGTTTGCCATGTGAGAGTCCAGTGACATAACCATTACACCATCTGCTGGTCCCACAAATACCATTAAAAAAAATTTTTATTATTCTTGGGACCAGCGTAATGGCTATGTCGCTAGACTCCCATGTAGTTGACCGTGGTTCGTGTCCTGGACCCGGTGGCTTAAAACTCACACTGGGCGTGTGTGCGTGCATGCCCAAGATCACGAGAGGAGAACTAAGGAGAAAGGACTGCGGAATGGCCATCCCCCCGGGGGGTGATTTCTCGCTTTCTGTCTCTCTGTCTCCCTCTGTCTAGCGAGCGGACGCGCCCGATAGCAAAAACCTCTCCAAAAAAAAATTATTATTATTCAAAGAATTATTTAATTTAATTTAATTTATGATTATACTTTAATTTGACTAGAAAGAGACAGAGAGAGAGAGAAAGATAGAGTGAGAAAATAAGTCGCCAGGTCTAGGACTCACGTTACTCAGCTGGGTGAGAGTCCCGTGCCCCAATCACCACACCACCTACTTTTCTTTTTTAAAAAAAGCTATTAGTAAGTGTACACTTTAAAGAATAATATTTTTTTCTGACAGAAATTGCAGTAATTCGAAATGTAGTTTTAAATGTTTTAAACTTGTGTGACTATAACTATATGGCATTGAACTTGAAAAACTGATATTTTACTTATAAAAAATTTTATTTTGTTCTTGATCCTCCTGCCTCACCCTTCCAAGTAGCTGGGATTATAGGCATACACTATTGCATCCAGGTGTTACTTATACCAAATTTTATAAGCTGTGGAAAGAATAAAAAACATTCTCAATTTTATTTTATTTTTAGAAGAATTATTAATTTTATTTATTACCACTATTATTATTATTTTAATTTGACCAGAGAAAGAGGAGACGGGGACTGGAACCACAGTTGGCCATGTGGGAGTCCGGTGCCTCAACCACCATGCCACCTGCTGGCCCCAACATTCTCAATTTTACAACAAAAAGTGATATTTTTACACTTTATATCCTTTGCATAGGTTTATTTTCATCAGATAATTAAGCACATGAAATTAGTAATTTCTACTTCTTGTCATATTTCATTGTCATCTTCATAGATTTCAGGGGAGAGAAGTATTGTGATTTTCCTTTACTTTTGTCTTGAGGTCTCTCTTTGGAAAGTGGATATAAACTATGATCTGACACTGATAGGGACCCAGGCGGGTGGCCATGTACCAATTACAGACACTTCTTTATCCTGGCAGATGGCCTAAGGCCTAGGCATCCAACCCATACCTCATGTCCCTTTCATAGCAAATTTCTTTATGCTGGCTGACAGCCTTGTGGCTCTCATGTGGCCTGTCCAGTTTATTCCACTTTCTAGAAGAGCTCGGACCAGGAATAAAGTTAGATTTGGCTATGCCCATCAGGTGAGACAAGAGGAGACAGCACAATAAAACATACAAAATAACAGAAGCAGCTCTTACTTATAGTCCCAGAGACAAAAGGGTAGCATACCTTGCAGGACCATTGGCAAGTTAGGGAGCTGTCTGGGATTCCAGTGGGGGAGGAGCAAGAGAGAACAAGCAAGGGACCTGTGTTAGTGTCTAGGCCATTACCCAAGCAGGTTTCCTATGGAGAATTCTAATTGGCACGTATAGAACAACAGCCATCAGCCCTTTAGAGTCAGGCTGTGACTGGGAGATGGTCAGTGTGGCAAATCTGGGAGTCTGTGAGGGATGGGTATCAGTGGAATGAGTCGGGTAGGTTGTATCAAGCTGACCCATAGAGAGGTAGTCACTGGGAGGCAGTTGTATAAGGCAGATATCTGAACCAACCACGTTAAGGAACTGGGAGGAGGCAGAGAATGGAAACTATGTTAAGGATGACAAAGACCTATTTCTGGTATGAAGAGAATCCAGCTGGTACTCGGAATAGATGCCAAAGACCCAGACGTAGGAGTCTGCCCTGGACACTGCTGCCTCACTGGCTGAGGCCACGTGGGACACTTGGATTCCCAGTCCGCCCTGAAGAGATGGGCACACCGGTGCTCACCTATAACCCACCATCTGGGAGGCTGAGGCAGAGGCAGGAAGATTATGACACAGATACTCTGTCTGAAAAACACTACACACACATACACACACACACACCCCAGGGGTGGGGGAGCGAAGTTGCCGAGGCAATATAAAATTATAAGAATTCATTATATGAGATTTGCTTCAAACTGAAGCAAGCGTCTCTTTCCTTCGCATTAGTTTATTTCTTTATTGGTTGTGAGACATGAAGAGGCTGAAGCACGCAGAGGTTCTCGGAGTCATATTGCCAGAGAGTTATTTGGCAGACTCCCAAGCTCCATTCTTACATAAAACACCTGAAGAGGTTCTAAACTCTGGAGTTTGGAAAGCACTTTTCCTGTACTGGGTCTAAATATACAGCTCATTTCATGAAATGATTAAAAAAAAAAATTAGTTGTCATCACTTACATTTTTGGTCTATGAATTGGAAATGTGCAAGATTTTCCATAAGTTATTTTGTTTATTTAAAAGCAAATGATTTATACCCTATATGCTTCCAAAAGGATTTGAACCTACTCGTAATAAAAGTCCTAGATGGAATAATATACAGATAGTAATTATTGTGAATTGAAAATAAAATGGCACATAAAGGAGGAGGAAGCAGATCTTCCAGTCGCCTGGTTGAGACAGTACTATCATTAGCATTAACTTGAGACCAAATTCACTGCAGCAAAAGCAAATAATAAATGGAAGTGGTTATATCATTATCGGATAAGAGGAAACTTACCAGCATTTTAGATAAGAACAATTATTCACTGGAACCAAGCTTTTCCAGACAGTGAATTCTAAAAGGGACTTATCACCTTGGGGCATTAAGTATCGAAATGATAGTAATGCAGTCTGGATTATTGTTCTTTCCTTAGTCATTCCATCCTACATACAAGGTTAAGTCATAGATCTTGAATTACTGTGGTCATAATAAAAGCAAAAACTATTTTGGTTAGAAAATCTTTTCTGGGACCAGCAGTTAGCATAATGGCTATGTCGCTGAACTCCCATGTAGTCGACTGTAGTTCGAGTCCCGGACCCGGTGGCTTAAACTCACGCTGGGCACGTGTGCATGTGTGCCCAAGATCCCGAGAGGAGAATGGAGGAGAAGGGATTGCAGCGTGGCCATCCCCCCTGGGGGGTGATTTCTCGCTTTCTGTCTCTCTGTCTGTCTGGCAAGCGCACGCGCCCTATAGCAAAAACCTCTCCAAAATAAAATAAATAAATAAAGAAAGAAAGAAAGAAAGAAAGAAAGAAAGAAAGAAAAGAAAAAAGAAAAATCCTTTCTGAGGATGAGGAAAAAATTTTTTTTCATATTTTTCCTTTACCCATGGGCAAAAATATTAATTAATGTCTTTAAAACTGTCCTACATATGGAAAATTTTTTTTTGTTTTATTTTACTCTTTTATCTGGTTAGCTTAATTTGCAATGTGAGAATTCTTCCATATACCAGAGACTGGCCCTCTTGTTCTCTAAAGATGAAAAAAACCTTTCATTTGATGATAGCTTGAGAATAAAAGTACATCATAACATCTATGAACATAGCAATTATCTCCCTTTACAATCAATAACAATAGCTACTTGGGTAGTAGTTGCTGAGCATTTTTATATGGTAGGTATTCTATTTTTACTAAGTGCCTTATAAATAGCATATTCTCACCAAGCTGTATGAAATTGGTGCTATTATACCCCATTAATAGATGAGAACAGTGAGAGAGAATCAAGTAACTTACTGAAGTTAATCAACTAGTAAGTAACGAACTGGCTCTGAATCCAGACATTCCTGACCTAGCCAGTGAACTTACCTGTTTTCTGCTGTACTATGCACCTTTCCAGACCAACGAATTTCATCCTGTAACTAAAAAGAGGAATATTTGATTAGAAGATGAGGTGACAGGGCCGGCTAGTGGTGGAGTGCTTTAAGCGGCTGGGTTCCACATGGCCAACTGTGTGGTTCAAATCCCATCCCTGGCAGCTTGAAAAACTGCACATGTGTACATGCCTAAGATCCCAATGGGAGGGAGAAATGGAGGAAAAGGGATTGGAATGGGACTATTCCCCATAGAGGGGGATGCTTTGTCACTTTCCTTCTCTCACTTTTACTCTCTCTGGAGAATGTACACATCATCTGGCATATAACAACAACAATAAAGGAGACAAGATGACAAATAAAAAGTTTATTGCAGTTGTTTTGGTGAGATCATAGGATCCAAAAATCATAGAGACAGTGGGAATGCAAAAACCTGTTTGGATTTTCACAGGGTACTTAAATATATTCATGAATTTGGTTTAAACCCTACCTTCATAAAAACAACTTTAATTCCTTTGAGTATCTCTAGATCAGGTCTTTCAAGAGAAATAGAAGGTGTTCAGGGACCAAGGTGACTGAAGCTATGCTCTAAACCCCATCTTCTAGACCCCTGAAACACTCAGACAAGTAGAAGAAAGATTTTGTCACAGAATGAGTAGAAACCACCGCAGAGGCACAAGAAATATGAGAAACCAAGAAAATATCTCTCCCCTAAGGAAAAAGAACAACCTTCATCATCCACAGACAGCATAGTGGAACTCGTGGAAATGTCCAACAGAGAATTCAGAATATTCATAGTGACAAAACTAAACAAGATGCAAGAGCTGAGAGACAGTGAACTCCAGAAGATGCAGGAGAAGAGAGACAATGAGTTCCAGGAGGTGAGGAAGTTCTTGCACAATCTGACAGAGGAATTATGTACCACAAAAAAAGGATCAAGTGGAGCTGTTGGAGATGAAGGCTGCAATACAGGAAATCAAACCGTCCCTCAAAAGTCCATGCAGAAAATCAAATCTCAGATGGTGAAGGAAAAACCTCGACTTAGAAAATAATAACCAAAACCACTGAGAAAATAACAACAAAAAATGAGATTACTATATGAGAAATGATACCATTAAGTGCCCAAACATCCAGATCATTGGTATCCAGAAGGCAAAGAAACTAATAAGGGCATTGATAATCTAGTCCATGAAATCCTGGAAGAAAACTTTCCAAACCTAGAGAGGCATTCAAATATCCAGACCTAAGAAATACAAAGGACCCCTAATAGAATCAACCCAAGAAGACCTTCTGCGAGGCACATCATAGCCAGACTGGCCAAATCCACAAAGACAAGATACTAAAATTGGCAAGAGAGAAATGTCCCATTACTTATAAAGGTTATCCCATCAGGCTAACATCAGACCTCTCATCAGAAACAATGCAAGCAAGGAAAGAATGGGAAAATATATTCAAAGTGTTCATTGAAAAATAGTTTAAACCAAGAATACTATACCCAGCAAGATTATTCTTCATAGGGGAAGAAAAGTTTAAAAAAAAATCTCAAACAAACAAAAAACCTGGAAGAATTTACCAACACCAAGAAGTTCTTAAAGGAGTGCTTTATCAGGAAAACTAAAGACACACATACAAAAATAAGAGAACAAAAAGCAACCAAGAAAATGACCAACTTAATGCTAGGGACAAGAAACACCAATAATAACACTGACTGTTAACTTCCAGGATTTAAACAGAAAGATCGGACCACAGTAACTCTGAAATTTCAACAGAATAGAGATTAATTACATAAGACCGAACCAGTGAAATAGAATTTTATGACTTGAGTAAAACATTACTGGTTTGTTGTTGTTTTTTTGTTTTGTTTTGTTTTGTTTTTTTCTATGCTTTGTTTTCCCAATTTAAGGATTTTGCTTTCTTTTGAGCTGTTGATAGGTTCGGCAATTTGTTAAAGTGTTTTTTTCTTCTTGTTTGTTTTTTTCTTTAAATGGAAACAAACTTTTCTCCCTTCCTGACCCCTCTGGAATTGGGAAATACTTAGAAATATTCTTATTTTGTGGCAGAATAGTTATTTGCATAAGTTCAATAATACCTGTTGCCTTGAATCAGAAATTGGAAATACTTGTTATCGGACAAGGCTTTGACTGGAATGTCATATCTGAAGATTCAACCAGAAAACTATAGAACCTTTAAAGTAGATCTCAAGTAAGCCAACAGAAGCTCTTGGAAAGATGGCCTGGCACCATAAATGATTCTGCCTGGCAGAAAGGGTTAGAGAAGCCATGTGAAAGAATTTGTACCATAAAATAACCTGGATTTTTCCAGCCCAGCATTGTAATCAGTAGAGATTGCAAAAGAGCAGCCACAACCAGAGGATTATTATGAGGAAGATTTTGAAGAAAGAAAAAGAGACTGATCTTTGCTAGCAGATGGCATACATATCACGGAATACTTGGTAGGCAGGGCTGAACTGAGAAGGTTCATGTGTGAATTGTGTGCTGGGTATTTGCTTTTCAACAGTTTGAGTAGTTGACATTTAAAAATATTTAAAACCATACTATCTCTGTTGTTGTAGAGTCACAAACAATATTACAACAAATATTTCTCTCTTTCTTTGGAGATTTTTTTTGCTATAGGGAACGTGAGCCCACCAGACAGACAGAGAGACAGAAAGCTAGAAATAACCCCCCAGGAGGGATGGCCACGATGCAATCCCTTCTCCTCCATTCTCCTCTCGGGATCTTGGGCACGCACGCACACATGCCTGACTTGAGTTTAAGCCACTGGGTCAGGGACTCGAACCGCAGTTGACTACGTGGGAGTCCAGCGACATAGCCATTACACTACCTGCTGGTCCCACAACAAATATTTCTAACATTATCTTTAAAATTCAGTTTTTTTAAAATTTGAAAGTTTTTTTTATTAATTATCAAGGACCATGGATTGAGAGCAAAAACTTTTTGATGTGTAAAGTAAATTTTTGTGGGAAAATATAAAAATGAATAAATTATTTTTAGAAAAGAGAAATACAGTCGAACTTCCTTGTAACTATAAAACCTTTATAATTGTATTTAATCACTCCTTTCCCTGGGCTACCTTTGTACCTTGAATACACAACTATTGCATACTTGTCACAAGGAGTTTTTACTTAATTTACAATTACACTCTAACTTTTTAAGCAGTCATTTTTCATATGGCCAAACCTGAAAGAAACACATATATATCTTGAAATAGTAATTTAACTTCCTTATCTGTGAAGAGAGGATTATGACTACCTCTCAGAATTATAGTAACGACTAAATGAGAATCAGGTAACATCATAATGAATAGAAAGTACTCAATAAACAGTAGTATATTATTAGCATGATTACATGGAAATTTTATACTCTCCATGAAAGTGTAAGAAAAGGAGGATAAAATTATCAAGTAAAAACATATTAAGAGTTTTTTTTAATAATTATTTATCTTATTTATTCATTTATCTTTTTTAAAATTTGACCAGTGAGAAACAGGGTGAGAGTGAGAGAGAGAGGAAGTGAGAAAGCAAGCCACCAGATTTATGACTCGAACCCTGGTCAGCCATGTGGGAGTGTCCAGAACCTTAACCACCACGCACCTGCTGGTAAATACACATGAAGCTTTCTTCAATGTCAAGGATTTTATATGGCTAGTTTGAAAACAGTCTCTTAATATTTAGTGAATAAAAGAAGATATTTTCAGCAATAAATTCTAAAATTCATTGATTATGCTAATCATCAGAATACTTTGAGAATTTAATCTAAGTGCACATGTCAATAAAGCTGAAACAATACAAAATATAAACTGCTGATGGGCCAGCAGGTGGTGAGGTGGCTAAGGTACTAGACTCCCACATGGCCATATCGTGGTACATATCCTGGACCCAGTGCCTTGAAAATCACTTGAGGTGCATATGTGTGTATGCCCAAAATTCCAGGAGGAAAATGGAGGAGAAGGGAATTTGGCATGGCCATCTCCCCTTGGGGATGATTTCTCACTTTCCATCTCACTGTCTCTCTCTGATGAGCACATGTACCCTATAACAAAAATCTAAAATAATTTTTAAAAATTTCAAAAAAGGTAGATTGCTGAAACTGAAAGGCCAAAAATTATCTCAACTTTAAAGCAAGATTAAAGCAAGACATAAGATGAATACATATTTGAAGTTATTCCCTCTAATTTAAAGTTTTAAGTATAGCATAATGTATAAAAATGAGACAATAAGAATAATATTTGTAAGATCCAAACATTCTTGATTTGTTGATAATGAACAATATTAATTTATTAATTCTACAATATGCCTTTTTAAAGAATTATTTAATTTTATTTATTCATCCATTTATTTTAATTTGACCAGAGAGAGAGAGGGGAAGTGAGAAAGCAAGCCACCAGGTCCAGGACTTGAACCGTGGTTGGCCACGTGGGAGTGTCCAGCACCTTAACCACCACGCCACCCACTGTTCCCTCAATAAAGCTGAAACAATACAAAATATAAACTGCTGATGGGCCAGCAGGTGGTGAGGTGGCTAAGGTACTAGACTCCCACATGGCCATATCGTGGTACATATCCTGGACCCAGTGCCTTGAAAATCACTTGAGGTGCATATGTGTGTATGCCCAAAATTCCAGGAGGAAAATGGAGGAGAAGGGAATTTGGCATGGCCATCTCCCCTTGGGGATGATTTCTCACTTTCCATCTCACTGTCTCTCTCTGATGAGCACATGTACCCTATAACAAAAATCTAAAATAATTTTTAAAAATTTCAAAAAAGGTAGATTGCTGAAACTGAAAGGCCAAAAATTATCTCAACTTTAAAGCAAGATTAAAGCAAGACATAAGATGAATACATATTTGAAGTTATTCCCTCTAATTTAAAGTTTTAAGTATAGCATAATGTATAAAAATGAGACAATAAGAATAATATTTGTAAGATCCAAACATTCTTGATTTGTTGATAATGAACAATATTAATTTATTAATTCTACAATATGCCTTTTTAAAGAATTATTTAATTTTATTTATTCATCCATTTATTTTAATTTGACCAGAGAGAGAGAGGGGAAGTGAGAAAGCAAGCCACCAGGTCCAGGACTTGAACCGTGGTTGGCCACGTGGGAGTGTCCAGCACCTTAACCACCACGCCACCCACTGTTCCCACAAATGTACTTTTTATTGTCATATGCTAGACACTGGCCTAGGAATTAGAGATACCATTGGTTGCAAAAAAAAAGATACTTTACTCTGGTGGAGCTTATAATCTGGAGATATAATGAATACTTTAAAAATCTAGTTGTTATTTCCTTAATAATGATCATTGCCTTATTTCTAGATGGAGGGGGTCATTTTCTCCCTCTCTGTCCCCCTCTCCAGGTGGTAAACACATGCATCTTCTGGCAATCTTTCTAAAAATAAAAATAAAACTCTAGATGGAGAGGCAATCCTCCTCTTCTCCTTTCCTACTCTTTCTGTGTGAAAGCTGTACGTATAGCCCATCTGAATTCCTCACTCTGCACCCCACCAGGCAGTACGAGATGCCAGCATTTTCTTTGACTATCTTTTGTGAGAATTCTAAACTAAAATTTAAATCAGGAGAAAATTTTGAATCCTGATAGACTTAAGTGAAATGTAGATCAGTTATAATTCACAAGCTATCTATTTTTCATTGTTTTAGATGCAGATCTCTCTGATATGAAGAACAATGAGCCTTATGACTATAAATTTGTGAAATGGATGACTAAAAATAAGGTAATGTTACTTGGTCTTTCCAATATTTTGCTGTAGTTTATAATTAATTTCTGATGGAAATCTGCTGACATGCTTTGAAAAACATTAACTATGGTTCTGTTATAGGATATTTTACTTGTGGCTTTCAGGAGATTTTTTTTTTTTTAATTTTTGGGCTAGCAGGTGGTGTGGTGGTTAAGGTGCTGGATTCCCACATGGCCAACTGTGGTTCAAATTCTAGACCTAGTGGCTTAAAAAAGTCATAGCAAGGGACCAGCAGATGGCATAGCAGTTCTGTCGCTGGACTCCCACATAGTTGACTGTGGTTCAAGGTCCAGAACCAGTGGCTTAAAACTCGGACTGGGTGTTTGTGTGCTCAAAATCCCAAAATAGAATGAGGAGAAGGGATTTTGTTGTGGCCATCCTCCCTGAGGAGGGGATGATTTCTTGCTTTCTTTTTCTCTGTCTCTCTGGTGAGCACATGTGCCCTATAGCAAAAATCTCTCTCTTAGACAATAAAAAAATCATAGCAAATAAATAGATAAATAAATAAATGTTAAAAATAAATAAAACTTTTTTTTTTCTTTTTGGAAATTGTGGCTATTTAAATGTATCTACTTGTTTCTAATGTTTGTGGTCCTAAAGTGAATAATTGAAGAATAAGTAGTTTTTCTTTTTTATTCTATTTATTTTTCAGAAACTATCAGCCATCCCCGTTTCAGCATTCTGTAACTCAGAATCTAAATCGCAGTTTGAAAAGTTTGTGCGGTTTTGCTTCATTAAAGTAAGTTCTCTGTTCTACTTAAAAATATAGTTACAGTGTCCTCCCTTCCAATTTATAAAGCACCAAAGAATTACTAGACATGTGAAAACACAAGAAAATGTGGCCATAATGAGGAAAAAAGTAGTCAATAGAAATAGACCTAAGGATATTCCAGAGTTAGGAATTCACAGATAAGGATTTTTAAAGCAAATATTATATTTAAAGAAACTAAAGTAAAATATGGTCTTAATAAGTAAACAGATACATTAGAACTATTAAAGGAAACCAAACTGGCCCAGTAGTACTGTGCTTAGAGAAGCCAGATCCCATGTAGCCAACCATAATTCAAATGCCGTTTCCAGTGGCTTGAAAAACACGCTGGATGTACACCAAAAATCCCAGTAGGATGGGGAAATGGAGAAGGGATTACAACATGACCACTCCCCATTGGGGGGTGCTTTCTTCCTTTCTCTCTCTTTCTCTCTTTGTTTCTCTCTGGCAAGTATATGCACCCTCTGGCAATTAAAAAAAAAATTATTAAGAAAACCAAATGGAGAGGGCCGGCAGGTGGCATGGTGGTTAAAGCACTGGGCACTCCCACGTGCCTGACCATGGGTTGAGTCCCGGACCTGGTGGCTTGCTTTATCACTTTCCCTCTTTATCTCTCTCTCCCTCTGTCTCTCTGTCTCTCTCTGTCAAATTAAAAATAAATGAATGAATAAATAAAATTTAATAAATAATTATTTTTTAAAAAAGAAAGAAAACCAAATGAAAATGTGAGGACTTAAAAGTATAATATCTGATATGAAATATTGAGTTGTCAGGAAAGTCATGACACATTTTTGCATTACAAAAACAGAAAAACATGTCATGACTTTCCCAACAACCTAATATTTATGGGGCTAAATAGAAGATTGAAAATGTCAGAAAGAAAACAGTTAACTTGAATATAGATTCATAGAAATTATTTAAACTGAAAGAAAAAGAAAAAAATTATTTTTTAAAAAACTGAACAGTATGGGCTGTCTTTGTGGCCTGGTGGTTAAGGTAGCAAGATCCCACATGCCAAATACACAGTTCAAGTCCCACACCTAGCAGCTTGAGAAATGCACTGGACACGCATGCATGCATGCCCAAAATCTCAAAAGAAGGGAGAGGTAAGGGAGAAGTTATTGCACGTGACCATTACCCATAGTCAGGGGGGAGAGTTTTCTCTTCTCCCTCTCTCTCTGGTGAGTAGCACACAGGCCCTCTAGCAAATAAATAAATAAACAAACAAACAGACAAGACTGAGGCAAGAAAATTACAACATAACAAGAGTCTGTTTTTTACATTAAAAAACTGAATAGAACTTCGGAACTATGAGACAGTATGGAGGGAGAATATAAACATTAGTGGAATACCAAAAGAAGAGAAAGAGTATGACAGAAAACAATTTGTAAGAAATAATGGACAAGGGACCAGCGGGTGGCCTGGTGGTTGAGGCGCTGGGCACTACCACATGGCCGACCACGGTTCAAGTCCTGGACCTGGTGGCTTGTTTTCTCACTTCCCCTCTCTCTCTGTCTGTCTCTGGTCAAATTAAAATAAATGGATGAATAAATAAAAATTAAATAAATAATTTTAAAAAAAAAGAAATAATGGACAAAATTTCCCCATATTTGACAAAAAGCAACTTACAGATTTAAAAGCTCAGTAAATTACAAGACAAATATTAAATAAGCAAAAAACAACAAATCATAATCAAATGACTAAAAACCAAAAGTAAAGATAAGATTTTGAAAACAGCCAGGGAAAAACTACACATTGCATGCAAAGGAAAAAATGTTAACTAACTTTTTATCAGAAATAATAGAAACCAGAATGCAATGAATAAACATCTTTGAACCACTGAAATTTAAAAAGTATCATTCCAGAATATCCTATTAAGAAGGTATTTTTGGAGACCAGCAGGTAGGTAGCATGGTGGTTAAGGTGCTGGACACTCCCACATGGCCGACTACGGTTCGAGTCCCAGACCTGGTGGCTTGCTTTCTCACTTATCCTCTCTCTGCTTCTCTCTCTCTCTCTGTGTCTTTCTCTGGTCAAATTAAAATAAATGAATGAATAAATTAAATAAATAATTCTTTAAAAAAAAAGAAGGTATTTTTAAGGGGAAATATCCTTTAAAAATGAAAATGCAAAAGACATCCTTGACAAATGAAAGCTGAGAAAATTCATCATCAGGCCTGTACTTAAAAAGATTCTAAATCTATTACCGCTGTTTATAAAACGTTATTGCTACTGAAAACAGGCTTACTGAGCTCAAGGCATCTCTCTACCAACTCACTCATCTGTAAACATAGTCAGAATAATGAAACACTTTTTTAAACTTTTAGAGACAATCCACAAACTATAGAAGACTTGTTCAGAATAGAATATAAATGTTAACAGCCTAACCATATGAACCTTTTTTTTTTTTTTTAAGACAGATTTTTGCTATAGAGCATGTGCACTTGCCGAAGAGACAGAAAGAAACACAGAGACAGAAAGCAAGAAATCATCCCCCCGGGGGATGGTCATGCTCCAATCCCTTCTCCTCTGGTCTCGTCTTGGGATTTTGGGCACGCTTGCACACGTGCCCAGCGTAAGTTTTAAGCTGCTGGGTCTGGGACTTGAACCACGGTCAACTATGTGGAAGTCCAACAACGTAACCATTACGCCATCTGCTGGTCCCAACAGCCTAATCATATGAACTTTCTATTGACTGAAATGTAGAAAAGGTAAGGCTGTTAGGAATAGTCTCATCTCACAGGGCCAGTGGGTGGCATAGTGATTAAGGCACTGGACTCCCACTTGGCCAACCACAGTTCAAGTCTTGGACCTGGCAGCTTGAAACTCAGGCCAAGCATGTGTGTGTGCATGTGTACACAAAATCTCAGGAGGAGAATGCAGGAGAAAGGACTGCAGCACAGCCATCTCCCTAGGAGTTGATTTCTCCTTTCTCTCTGTCTCTCCAGTGAGCATACATGCTCTTACAGCACAAATCTGTCTCTTAAAAAAAATAATTCTCGTCTTATATTGGATGTAGAGCTAGAGATATAAGCATATTATTTGAAATCTACAACTTCCAGGTTTTGTTTTTTGGGGTTTTTTTTGTTATTATTGTTTAAGAGTGATTTTTACTATAGGGCGTGTGTACTCACTGGAGAGACAGAGATAGAAAGTGAGAAATTACCCCCCTGGGGGGATGGCCATACTGCAATCCCTTCTCCTCCGTTCTCCTCTCAGGATTTTGGGCATGTACGCACACACGCCCAGCGTGAGTTTTAAACTGCCAGGTCCAAGCCTCGAAACATAGTTGACTATGTGAGAGTCCAGTGTCATAACCATTATGCCATCTGTTGCTCCCAGACTTCCAGGTTTAAAACAGTAAACATAACCTTTTCCTATTCCATTCTTGGAAATTATTCAAAAACAAATAAATAGGATGGAAAACAAATTTACAAATTTTCCAGTGTAGGAGAATGGGTTGCCAAATACCACGAAGATGATGGTCGAGAAAAAATACCCAGAAAAGACCCCACTTCTACATCTTCTAATCATAGACAGAGTTAGCAGGTGGCATGCCCATACTCAGACAACAGGAATAGTACATGCGCTGGCAGTGGGCACTAACAAAGAGAATTCAATAACAAACGGGGGGCCAGCCAGTAGCGTGGTGGTTCAGGCAGCTGACTGCACAGCCTCAGCAGCCTGAAAAGCACATGGCGCATGTGCATGAGTGCCGAAAATCCCAACAGGAGGAACAAATGGAGGAGAAGGGATTGCTGCAGGACCATCTTTCATGGGAGTGCTTTCTCATCTTCCAGCTCTCTTTCCTTCCAGCTCTCTGTCTCTTTCTGGCAAGCGCATGCACCCTGTGGCAAATTTATTTTATTATTTTTTGAGGTATTTTTGCTGTAGGGTATGTGCACTTGCTTTAGAAACAGACAGAAAGTGAAAAATCACCCCACGGGGGATGGTCATGCCACAATCACTTCTCCTCCATTCTCCTCTTGAAATCTTGGGCATGTACACACACGTGCCTGGGGTGCTTTTTAAGCCACCAGGTCTGGAACTTGGACCAGGGTCAATTATGTGGGAGTCCAGCAATGTACCATGACACCATCTGTAGGTCCTGGCACAATTATTTTTTAAATAATTTTATTTTTAGGGACCAGTAGATGGCATAATAGTTACATCTCTGGACTCTAACATAGTCGACTGCAGTTCAAGTCCCGAACCCAGTGGCTTAAACCCATGCCGGGCACAAGTGCCTACACGCTCAAGATACTGAGAGCAGAATGGAGGAGAAGGGATTGTGGCGTGGTCATCCCCCCTGGGGGGTGATTTCTTGCTTTCTGTCTCTCTGGCAAGTGCACACATGTTATAGCAAAAAATCTCCCTAAAAAAAAAATAATAATAATAATAATTTTATTTTTAAATTAATTTATTTTAAATAATTTATTTTTTAAATAAAGAAACAAGTGGGGTAACCAGCAGATGGTGTTATGGTTACATTGCTGGACTCCCACATGTGGCCACCCACAGTTTGAGTCTTGGACCCAGTGGCTTAAAACTCATGCTGGGCATGTGCCTGTGTGCCCAAAATCCCGAGAGTAGAATGGAGGAGAAGGGTTTGTGGCTTGGCTATGCCCCCAGGAGGTGATTTTTCTCTTTCTGTCTCACTGTCTATCCAGCAAGCGCATGTACCCTATAGCAAAAATCTCTCAAAGAGATTTTAAAAATAAAGAAACAAGCTATGAACCTATAAACAAGACATTATAAGAGAAAGGTACAAGGAAAAACAAAAATCAGACAGAGTACAGTCACTGGAAAAATGTTGCCATAGAGCAAATTAAAACTGTATTTCAAACTCAAAATCTGTGAAACAAGAGATTAAAGCAGTGTTGCCCCTGGGGAGGAAAACTGGCTGAGGAGATAGGTGGAAGGCTGATTTTTAAAGTCAGTGAAATGAACTCAACACAAAATGTTCAAGAACTTCTAACTTTTTAACCATTTTAAAGTCAGTCCTTGACTTAATGACTGATGATGCCCCTGTCACCCCCAAATATTATACTTTATTACGCAGGGACATTCTTCTCCAACACGTTAACATAACCTTCAAAATCATGACGTTAAAACTGACATATTATTCCAATTTTCAGATCCAATTCAAGTTTCACCAGTAATATCCTTTTTGTCATTTTCTGTTATGGGTTTTTATTTTATTTTTTTTTAACTTTATTCTTCCCTGAGTGAGAAAGACAGAGAGAGATTGAGACAGAAAGGCTGAAAGAGACACAGCATACCACAGTCTTGCCCCCAGCCAGCCCTGGATCTTTGGGCAAGTATGTGCCCTGTGTAGTCAGGGAGGTCTCCAGACTCAAACCTGGCACTTTTCCATGTAGGTCAGCATTGCAGAGCTTTGCATTTTACCACTGCACCACAGTCCACTTTTTCATGTCCTTGTTATGGGGGATTAAATTATTAAATCTGGCCCAAATCGTGCCAATCACTCCATCTAGGGCTGGGTTGTGCATTGCATTTAGTGGTCATGTCTCTTTCAATCTGGAATGGTTCCTCGATTTTCTTTGCCTTTCATGACTTTGATACTTTTGAAAATGACTAGCCAATTATTATTATTATTATTTTCTGGTAGAGGTTTTTTTCCTATAGGGCGCATATGTTCACCAGAAAGACAGACAGAGACAGAGAGACAGAAAGCAAGAAATCACCCCCCAGGGAGGATGGCCATGCTGCAATCCCTTCTCCTCCGTTCTCCTCTCGGGATCTTGGGCATGCATGCACACGCTCCCGGCGTGAGTTTAAGCCACTAGGTCTGGGACTCAAACCGCAGTCGACTACATGGGAGTCCAGTGACATAGCCATTACGATAACTGCTGGTCCCTAGCCAATTATTTTTTGAAGAAAGTTCCTCAATTGAAGTTTGACATTTTCTCATGAATAGATTTAGGTTGTGCACTTCTGTAGGATAACACAGAAGTGATGTTCTTTTTGTTGCATCAGGTTACACTTTTCAATTTTACTTCTTACTGATGATGTTAATTTTCATTTATAATTTTTGCCCTAAGGTGTGTGCACTTGCCAGAGACAGAGAAGGAGAGAGGGAAAGTGAGAAAGCAGCTCCCAGGGGAGGGCCATGACACAATCCCTTCTCCTTTATTCTTTTCTCAGGATTTGGGCATGCACACACATATACCAGGGAATGTTTTCAAAGTCACCAGGTCCAGGACTTGAATCACATGGTTGGTCACATGGGATACAGCTGCCTTAACCCCCATGCCATCTGATAATATTAACTTTAGTCATCTAATTAAGGTAGCATTTGTTGGGTTTTTCTACTGTAAAGTTACATTTTTTCCCCTTCCTAGAAGTAATGCATATTTTGTAGTCAAGTACTCTGAAACTGCCAAAATATTCTATATGTCATCAAGAAATTTATTCATTTTGCCTGTCTACTTATGTCAGTAAGCACTCATTAATTTCTGTTTTATTCTGTGGGCTATAATTTATTATTATTTCTACTTATTTTGATGCTCAAATTTTCTCTGCTTTGGCCACTAGGATTTCCTTGAAGCTGCCCTCTTTCCACTAACACATCTCCATCATTTTTCAGTGTTTTCTTACTTTCTGGCATAACCTGATGGACTAGGTTCACCTTACCATCATCTATTTACCATAATCTGGAATCAACCGTTTCCAGTTAGTCATCGTTCCTTTTAGTCGAGAGTGGCATTTACATACCAAGATCAGAGCCTGAGAAGTGCTCGTGTTTTGGGGGGATGGCTGTTCCCAGGCCTAGCCAATCTGAATGTCACTGCTTTCCTTGTCCCTAGCCCCTGAGTGGATGCCCTTTACCCCATTCAGGCTCTGATATTTCCTCCCAGGCTGATGCCACGCCCCCTGTGAGGTCACCATCCTCACCCACCTGGGCTTCAGTCTGCTGTCACCCTTCCAGAGGTGCCTCCTCTGGGTCTCCAACACCCACAGAAGGCCACAACTATCACCCACTGCAGAGAAGCCCTCATCACCCCTGTTAGGGTCTAATGTCCCATGCCAAATCCCTACCTCACTCCACTCAGACTTCAGCACCCTGCATGGAGCCACCCTACCATACACATACACACTGCTGAAGAAATCATGAAGGCATGGGTGGAGCAGACAGAAGCCTTAATAGGTGCAGTCTTCATGTTTCTATTAGGCCTCACTTACCCCACTCAGGCTCTGACACCTGCTCCAGGTCAACACCACTGCTTCATGCGAACTGCACTGGCCACCCTTTACTTACTCCGGCTGCAGCATCCTGCACTAGGCTGCCACGGCTGCTCACACAGACACCATCACACTCAGCCCCACCCACTGGCTCTCAACCTAGTCGTTCTGGCAGACAGAAAAGAGTAAGAAAAAGAACAACTAGAGACACAGATGAGGAAGGCTGGATTTTCGCTGCTTACCCTTCAGTTTAATTTTATGCCATAGGCATGTATTACCTATTCAAAAAATAAAGAAATGGGACCAGCAGTTAGCATAATGGCTATGTCGCTGGACTCCCATGTAGTCGACTATGGTTCTCGTCCTGGACCCGGTGACTTAAAACTCACGCCGGGCGTGTGTGCGTGCATGCCCAAGAACCCGAGAGGAGAATGGAGGAGAAGGGATTGCGGCGTGGCCATCCCCCGCCCCCCGGGGGGGGGAGATTTCTCGCTTTCTGTCTCTTTGTCTGTCTGGCGAGCGTACGCGCCCTACAGCAAAAACCTCTCAAAAAAAAAAAAAAAAGTGAAAAAAATAAATTATTTTTCAGTAATTGTATCTATGAAATGATAGAAGGGGCACAGTAGTATGAATGAACTAAGTGTTCATTGTTCAGAGGGAACAATGGTAGATAAGGCGTGAAGTTCATAAATGAGAGATAGAGGCATAGGTGTATTATTTTGATTTCAGTGGTAACCATTAGAACTAAAGCCAGAAATTGCCATAAAAGGTTGTCCTAGGGGATGGAGGGGATAATGGGAGGGGTAGAGCAGACAGCTATTACTTTGTACTATGTAGGCTCTTTTGTACTCTTTGACTTGGTTCTGTGATTGTAATTCATTTAAATTTTCTTCTTTGGGTTACACCATTGCGTTTTCATTTGGAAAATTTTCTTCACCTAAGATCAGATAATCTCTTAAATCTTTGTCTAAGCTACTATGGTTTATATACTGGGTTATCAGTAAAGTCATGACACATTTTTGCATAAAAAACTATGTCGTAGGGGCCAGCAGCTAGTGTGGTGGTTACAACGCTGGACTCTCACATGACCAACCGCATGCCTGACCATGGTTTGATTACGGAAACTAGTAGCTTGAAACTCACGCTGGACACGTGTGTGTGTGTCCCCAAAATCCCTAGAGGAGAAAGGAGGAGAAGGGATTGCGGCATGGCCATCCCCCCTGGAGGGTGATTTCTCGCTTTCTGTCTCTCTGTCTCTGTCTGGCAAGCACACACACCCTGTAGCAAAAATTTCTCTTAAAAAAAAAAAGAAAGAAAAATAATCAAGGGTTTTCCCAACAACCTAATATTTTTATTTTTAAATCTTTGCTCATCTTGAGTTTATGCTGTAATGTAGTGATGATGATTTCATTCATTTACAGAAAGACAGCACACTGGACGCTGCTGAAGAAATCATGAAGTCATGGAGTAGACAGAAGCCTTGATAGGTGCAGTCTTCATGCTTCTATTAGGTGACACAGTATGGAACTGTTACAAGTGCTGCCACCTGCTGGGTGTTAGAAGATCAGTACTGATGGAACGCAAACTCTTCTATTGTTTTCTCAGAGACGTTAACCCCACTTCTAACAATATTCAGGAAAGCTGGTAACTTTTTCCATTGAAATGCATTAAGACGACTTCCACTACAGTTTTACGTTAGCACTACACAGTAGATAACTGCCGTGCAAGCAGAGGCTTAACATCTCTGTTAGCATCTCAACTTCCTCCTTATAAAAGGGAATAAAAATAGCATCTATTGGTGCCAGCAGGTGCTATGGTAGTTACAGGCACTAGATTCCCACATGGCCGACTACAGTTCAAATCCTGAACGTGATGGTTTGCTTTCCTTTTCTCTATCTCTCTGATCAAATTAAAAAGAATAATAATAACAAATGGAGCTAAATGAATAAATAATTTTCTAAAAAATAGTACCTACTGCATATAGAAGATGATTAATCTATTTGTGTGTGTGTGGGGGGGGCTAATGTGTATAAAGTCAGTGAGGATTAAATGGGCTAATGTGTATAGAGTCTGACAAACAATGAACACTCCCAGGATGGCAGCCAGGTCTCTGCCATTGTAGAAAAACTCTCTACACTTTATCTTTGCTGTATCTACC